AACTCAAAAAAAAACACTTCCTCTACAGTAGAAGTAGCTGTGCTCTGCGGTTCTTGCACTCATTTCTGCAGGGGGCACAAGGGGGCTGGTCCATTTCTGTTGCTGTTACAAAGGACTATTCTCAGCTGGCAGATATTTTGAATTCTTAGATGACAGTAAGTAAGAGCCATAACTGCTTTCAACTTCCCATAAGTCACCGTGCTACCTTTTCCCTTTACAAACAGTCTCCAGGGAATGAAGTTCACGACACTTTGAAGTCATTAGACTCATTAACAGCTTATGGCTTCAGGGGTAAAACCGCATCACTCAACTCATTTGTTAAGCAACTATAGTATTTAAATAAACTCATAATTACCCACCAATTTTTTTTCAATCACCCTCAAGGATTTGGACTCAATGCATTATTTCCTGACACATTTCAAAAAATCGTCTTACACTAGCACAACCACTCACTTTAATGTTCTTTGCTCTTCTTTTTCTTCACATTCTTAAAGGCATTACCAAAGGAACCCTTTGCTACAGCCAGGGTGGTCTTCCATTCCTGGTTCAATGCCTGATCACCCTGCCTCACCCCTGTATAAACTCCACTGGCTTAATTGTTTCCATGTCTGAACCCCTCAAAGTCTAATCAAATTGTTAAGCAAAATTTCTCTAATTACTTCATCCCACAAATATCCCCTTTCTCTCTTGAAAGTTTCATGTCTGATACAACCACTCTGTTCTTTCATGTTGTGTTAATTTTGTGACAAGTGCTGGGTTTCCCACAAGGATGACCTGTATTAGTGCTATCAACCTATTCTTATAATAACTGACCACTAAAGCTTATATCCTTTTGTCCTGAGTGCACTGTGCCAGAAACAGATGAGCATGTTTTTCTATGTCTTTCTGAAATGTCAGAATTTATTGAATACATGCATATGTATGTTAGGTCTCAAACCCAGGAAACATAGCTAATGGAGGTGTCTAGTAATACATAGGGTCCCCCAGGATCCCTGAGTCCTCCTGGCTGACATGCCCCATCCAGAACCCTAGATTTCTCCAGCCCAGGGACTGCACTTTCCCTCCCCCCCCCAAAGGGTAGGGCCAGGTTCAAGCAGGAGCAGTCTGGGTTCAGATGGGCAGACTGCTGTTGAGCCAGTCACATCAACAGCAGAGACTGAGCCAAACTGAAGACCCAGAGGCAGTTGGGACCTCACTGCCTGTCAGTTCTTAATGCACATTTGAGTTGTCTGTTAATAGGTCTGGGGGAGGGGCCTTGCCATTGCAGTGCTAAGTATTCACCATTCTGTGGGGTCCAGGTGAGAGAGCCCACATGCTCTGGCATGTCTGGTAAGTTCTTAGACCTGGTCTTCCTGATGTGATTTGAATATGCTCACATACCCCTATAGTCTCAATAGCTGATAAGCTTATAGGGCAGAACCCTTGCTACTACCAAGAATAAGTCATCTATCAGTTGTGCCACATGAGTGGTGCAGGACAGGGGGCATCGTTTACTCATCCACTCAAAAGCCCAGTCACCCTCCAACATCAAAATGGAGTTAAAAGATGCTTATAAAATGGAATATCACAGGGCAGGGCACAGTCTAAAAGACTACTGTTGTAGAATATTAGTTGAAGATGTGTTATATTTGTTTATGCTGTAGAACATTTGTTTTAATGATGCAAAGATCTGTTGCATTCTTTTATGTTGCATTTGTTTAAGTCTGTAAAACTGTGTTACTTTGCCTGCCTAAAACACCTGATTGGTCTAGTAGAGAGCTGAATAGCCAATAGCAAGGCAGGAGAAAGGATTGGTGGGACTGATAGGCAGAGAGAATAAATGGGAGGAGAAATCTGGAAAGAGAAGATCAAGGAGTGAGAGAAGGAGAAGGACTCCAGGGTCAGCCACTAGCTAAAAGCAAGCCACGGAATAAGAAGTAGAGAAAGGTATACATAGAATAAAGATAAAAGCCCAGAGGCAAAAGGTAGATGGGATAATTTAAGTTAAGAAAAGCTGACTAGAAACAAGCCAAGCTAAGGCCAGGCATTCATAAGACTCCATGTGATTTATTTGGGAGCTGGGTGGCAAGCACCCAAAGAGCCAAAAGAGTAAAAAATAGCAACAACAGACCACTATTTCACACAATGTGGAGCATGTCAAAATAGAACACAGCCTGATTGCCACACGTTTACCTCTCATGAACTTTTTGGTCTTCACACGATATCCACAAAATAAATTTATAAGGAAATATATGAATAAAAAAGAAATGGAAAAATAGCAGATTTAGGCTCAAGAAGCTACACTTATGCTTTTCCCACTCAATGGAAATAGATCAATTTGATAGATCATGTTGTATCTCAGTTGACGCAATGCCTCCTCTCCAGTGAGTTCTTTGGCACGTTTGTCAAAATCAAATGACTGCAGATGTCTTGACATCATTCTGTTTGGGGGCCAGTACCATGCCAGCTTTGTTAGCATGGCTCTAAGACATGACTTTAGATCAGTAATGGTGATGCCTCCAGTAGTAGCTTTTGCTCAGGAATGCTTTGGTTATCCATGGAGTTTTGTGTTTCCAATGTTTGAAGATCTTTCTTCTTCTGTTTCTGCAAAGAATGGCATTACAGTTATGTCCAAATGTCTTCATGTTCTTGAATTATTAAATTTAGTTGAACTGGCAATACTTGGGAATGTTAATGAAACATCACATAGACACAGCACTCCACAGTTAACCAAGTGTGTTGTGAGCACTTGAACCCTGTGGTCTCTCTGAAAAGTTATTCACAAGTATAGATACTATGCTAATACAGCACTCAGGAAGGAGCTGGGTTTTACTTCCAGCATTGTAAAGACCCTGGTGCTTCGGCCCACAATCTAAACCATAAATTCCATGCGGGAGAAGCAGAAAGATGCAGGTAGGAAGACAATGTAGCTCTATTGAATTCTAATATGGACACAAGCCAGTTGCTAATGAGACTCAGGTTGTGGGGGGCATATGTATTAGGATCTGGGACAAAGTAGAAATAATTTTTAATTAGATAATAAAAATAAGAATATATTCACAAGTAAGCAGACTTTCTTCAAAATACTTGTCATTATCCTATTTTGCTGAAATAAAACTGCACCTGTATTTTATTCTTTATTCTGCATGTCACATACATTTTGTTTAATGGCCACTTGAGTTTTCTTTCTTTCATTTTCCTGATAGCTAAATACTGGATAAAAGACTCTTCTCATGAGCTTTGCTTTAAAGTAGAAGTATCCTAAAGTAGACATATGAATGGATATAAAGTAGATGTGTCCTAAAGAAGACATATAAATGGATATAAACCAGATGTATTCTAAAGAAGACATATGAATGGATATAAACTAGATGTATCCTAAAGAAGACATATGAATGGATATAAACTAGATGTATCCTAAAGAAGACATATGAATGGATATAAACTAGATGTATCCTAAAGAAGACATACGAATGGATATAAACTAGATGTATCCTAAAGGAGACATAGGAATAGTGACCCACTGTTTTTTCTGTTTCAACCATTTATTCGATTGCTGTGTTAATACAAATGAGCTGCTTGATCTTGCTTTAGTGTCCCAAGATCTATAAGTCATTTGCATTCCAAAAAGGTTATTAAAATAAAAACTGTGGAAGTGTCTGGAAAAACAATACTTTGTGTGCCCTTTTTAGGGCAATAACACAGAGAATAATCATATACATACAAGAAAAATTGCCTGTGCACATATAGTAAGGCTGGCATATTCTTTCACAGGTGGAATTTCCAAAAAAAATGCAAAAAAAATTGAAGACACAAACTGTATCAAATGCAGTTTTTGAAACTTTTCAATTAATCTCCACAAGTTTTCAGAGATCCAATAAATACATGAAAACCATAATTAAGACTTTTTTTCCTAAAATAAATCAATGGGCTAGAGAAAGGTGGGAAAGGGGGAGACTATCAAGATATATTTATTAATAATCCTATATATCAATCATATCTAAAGTTTTTAAATTTTGTAAGCTTTTTGCAACTTTTCTTTTTTTTTGTTTCTTGTTTCTTTGGGACAGGCTTTCTCTGTGTAGCAGCCCTGGCTGTCCTGGAACTCACTATGTAGACCAGGCTGGGCTCAAACTCAGAGATCTGCCTGCTTCTGCCTCCCAAGTACTGAGATTAAAGGCATGAACCACCATGACCAGCTAACTATTTTTATTCTTTTAATTTCTTTACTCGTGTCTTCATTTATCTCTTATTAATATCCCTAGTTTAGGTTCTTTGCATGGTGTTGATATATTACTTTCTATTAACGGCAGTTCTCAAACCACGGTCTGCATGGCAAGCTCTCGTCGGAGGGTAGTGGGCTTAGAGCCACGCTTCCTTTGTTCTCAGTGCTCACTCTTTCAGTGAAAACCAGAAACTATGATCACACAGACCTGTGTTAAGTTAAAGAAACACTCAAAATTGTCATCTCAGCACACGTGAAGCCGAGGCCAGAGAAACAGCCTAGACTGCATAGCTCGCACTAAAACAAACAAAAACATAGCAAATTTAATTTTTCCCTATGATTTTTTACCTCTGTTGCCCATTCTAATTCCAAGCTGCTTTAGAACTGCTCCTGATTTCCAATGTCAGTCCATGGCTACCAGATGCTCTGATAGCATCAAATGCTTACCTGCCTCTGGCATATAGGCCAATGTCTAGTATTTCCTATTGTGTAATGTCAAAGTTTATCCAAAAAACTTTCCTCAACTCTTGTTACTTAGCTTGTAGAGTGATTTCGTGAGACTGGCATAATACACATTGCTGAATTTAACATACTTTAAAGCCCAGCATAATAGAATCCTAAGTAGAATATTCATCTCTTCCACTGCAGCAGCTCTAACAAGCCTCTGATCAGTCTCAACCTTGTTTCTGTCTCTGAGCACACTTAGGGGCACTGCCCAAAGGCAAAAGCAGGCCGGTGGGCCTCTTTGTGAAGGAGGAAGAAACAATTTTTCAAGGTCTTTGTTTGTTTGTTTTAGCTATAGACTTCAACGTGGCGAACATTTTAAAGAACCCGAAAGCACACACAGTGTCCATACACAAGGATGAGTCGACAGTGTCCAGAGCACCGACAAAGGTATGCCACACCGCAATTGTAAGAAGGCAGCAAGTGTAAGAACTCTCTTTGTTCAGTAGGCAGTGTCAGCAAAATCGACTGGCTTCACACAGTAATTCCGGCCAGCACATTCTCAACATACATTTTAGAAAAAATTTAATGATCAGATATTTATTTGGAGACATTAATCTTAAATTTAAATGTCCTATTTTCTTCTAACACCACCACCATCTCTCGTGAAATTTTTTAACAAAAAGATGAGCTCTTTCAATCCATTCACTTTATTCTTCTAAGCCAGTCCTTTCTACACAGCTTCTTTTTTGCTCTCATACTTAGCTCCTCTCTTGCCTGATTCTCTGTCCCTTCTTCTGCTGTCCTATCATTGTCCTATCTTAGTTCTTTTCTCTCTCATTGCCCTATGTTAGTTCTCTCTGTCTCTCTCTGTCTGTCTGTCTCTCTCTCTCTCTCTCTCTCTCTCTCTGTCTTTCTCTCTTTCTCTCTCTTCATTTGTCCCCTAGTCTCTGAAGTTTCCAGTTTATATACCCATGCAATCAGCAATTCTCTGGCCAAAGCAAGGTCATAAAAACAGATAAGCATTTACACCAGGCAGTGACTGTCAGGCTTTCTTTATGACTCAAGGATGAACTCATAAAAGGAAAAGGTCAAATGAGAGGGAGAGGGACCTAGAATCAATTAGGGAAAATCCAAGAAGGGAAAAGGGGGGATCCATATGTAACACTGCATTCCTAAGTGTGGTTAGATAAAAAGCTGATTAGTCAACCAAGGTGAAAGTAAAAGGAATTAAGATTTTGTTAGTTTGAAGTTAGCCTGGGTAGCACTTTCTTTTTTCTTTTTTTTAAGATTTTATTTATTTATTATGTATGCAATGTTCTGCTTGCATATATGCCTACAGGCCAGAAGAGGGCACTAGATCTCATTATAGATAGTTGTGAGTCACCATGTGGTTGCTGGGAATTGAACTCAGGACCTCTGGAAGAATAGTCAGTACTCTTAACCTCTGAGCCAACTCTCCAGCCCCTTTCTTTCTTATCTGCTGGCAGGGGAAGTGTTCTGGGTTGCTAGGCAACCTGCATCACAGCATGATGCACCTGGTTTGTAAAAGCCCTTTTGTTCTGAGTTAATGCTAAAGGGGGAAATCTCTAGAAGTGAGGATAACATTTGGGCTATGGGAAACAGGAGGAATTAAGCTTAATTTGCACAAGAGACAAAGATTTGAACCTAGCATCCTCCTGGCCTTGGCAGTTGTCTCAGTGAAAATATTTACCTCATCTCAGGAACTAGCAGATAGTCTGAATGCTTATCTATCTGCAGTCTGTCCTTGGATGTTTGAGAAGTATCTCAGATAAAATACTATTGTCCAGAGATGGCCCTGGCCAGATGTTTGATAATGAAGATAATTACAGAAAGGCAGACTTCTGAGTCTAATGCTAAAAGGGAAAATAAAGGCCTGAAAAAGGGGGTCTTGACTATGTGTTGTCAACACAGTTGGGGGATGTTATACAAATACACCAAAAGTATAGGAGAAATTGTGCCCAAATGAATGATCAACCACACTGGTAGAAGTCCTTAGGAGAAGAATCAGATGGGAAAGCTACAATAGCACACAAGAGATTCACTGCAGGATACAGCTAATACATTCAGAAGCCAATATCGCCAATGCTCCCTGAGTCTTGGCTTCATCCTCTGGACGACCCTTGGCTATTCCAGGTATTATTAGCTCTGCCAGTGTCAGCTGAATCCTACTTCATATTTCTGTGGCTCGCAGCAAGGGATGTTGTCAGTGGTTGCCCTCTCTTCACTTCTTAGGTGTGGCCCTGGAGGAACTGACGTGGTAGATGCTGTTTTCTCGAATGCCATACCTTAGGTCCTCTGAGGTGTTTGTTTGGTTGGTTGGTTGGTTAATTGGTTGGTTTTTTTAAGGGAATAAGAGATAGTTTATTCTGGAGCCATTTTGAGTGACTGTGGCCTGGGAACACAGATTTAGGTTACCCCCTACTCCATGTTCTATTGTGAAAACAGTTTCATGAAGTGTTATAGTTTTAAAGAACAAAGAAAGTCTTGAATCAAGGCAAGTTTAAAATGCACTGATGGGTCCATCAGAGAATGGCTACAGCAAGATGGATGAACATTTTCCAGAGGCCCAAAAGTGCTATCTGATGGCTTTCTTAGCTTTGGGTTTGGTGGATGCTAGCAGCCTGCTAAGTTAATAGATTCCGAAAGGATTTTATCTATTAGTCACAATATGTTAGTTCTGGCATGGAGTTAGACAAGATATGGCTGTTCTGAGGACTCAAGCTAGCCTGAAATAATGTACCTAAGATGATTACCCCACTTCAAATCCTAACATTCCAGTCTCCACAACACTGAAGTTCCAATCAGTCAGACAGTCTCTGCAGACACAGTTTCTTTGCAGAAGTTTTTGTTCTCAGTTCTCCCTGTTGGATAAGCATCACACTTTGCACATGCAGAGGTCTCCTGCTATTTATTAAGTATTATAAGATCCTTTGTGCCTAGGATCTGCTCTAGATGAGGCTGAGTAATGGGCAGGACAGCAGTCTCCAGGAGAGAGGAATAGCTGGTAAAAAGCCATCAAGAAAGACGCTAAGATTTCTAGCAGAAGTCCTCCAGGTCCTTTAAGGTGCCTCACAGGGAGAGATGTCGTAGACTCAACACTGTGTTGCTTTAGAAAAGATTAGATAAGGTCATTGGCTTAAAGTTCTAAATTTGATCTTTAATTTATATACTAGTCAGGTTTTTAATCTGTTACAGTCTTTCATGTCAAAATTTTAATTTATCTTATTGGGTTTGACCATTATTCAAGAGTGGAAATTGTGCCCATATCAAATTGATTTTCTTAATTTCAGTATTCCTGTATTTCCTGGTCTTTAATAATCTAATCTAATGAAATCTCTTTCTACCTTAAATATTTAGTAAGTTTTTAGGTTACGAATTGAAATTTGTGGGGGTTTGTCTGAACAGATGATGTTGTCATGGCATTTTTTATGGCCATATTGCCAGACTAAAAAAAAACTGAAGAAAGGTCATGGAAACTCAGATCTACTCTTCAACAGATACTGGGACAGGGGGATTTGTAAAGGCTAAGCGACCCTTCTCAGAGTCCACCAGAGAAATACAGTTAGAAGTAAGGCAGTTTTCTGTGCCATTGGCTCTGTCCCATTGCATATCTTTGGCTGCCACTTGAAAAGGTCAAGCAGTAGATTAAATGGTTTATTAGCAAGAGTTTATTACAGTTACAGAAGCCCAAGACCTCCAGCCTACCAATTGGGCTTGTTGTGCTTGGATCTGGAATGTCCCTAAAAGGTCCCTATGCTGAAGGCTTGTTCTCCAACTGGGGGTGCTGTTGGAGGTTGTGGGAAATAGTAGGTGGTGGGAGGTGAAGTAGGTCTCTGGGGGCATAACTTTGAAGGTTATTCTCTCTGTGTGTCTCTGTGTCTCTCTCTGTCTCTGTCTCTCTCTGTCTCTGTCTCTCTCTCTGTCTCTCTCTCTGCCTCCCTGCCTCCCACCCTCTCTCTCCTTCCTCCCTCTCTTTTCTTCCTTTTCTTCAGACTAAATAAAATCTCAGCCTTGATGTTGAACAAAAGGCCAGAAAGGAAAGCATAATATTAAGCAAAATGAGTCAGACTTGGAAAGACAAAGGTTGCCCATTTTCTTCCTTATGTGGAATCTAGGTTTAAACATAAATGTGTATTTATATACCTATATAGCGGGCTATAAGGGAAGAAGGAGGGAGTGTAAAAGAAGGAAATGGGGGATAGCAAGAAGAATTAATGAAGCAAGAAGAAAAAAAGAAAATCCCACTTTCATGTGGAATCGTGTGTGTGTGTGTGTGTGTGTGTGTGTGTGTGTGTGTGTGTGTGTGTGTGTGTGTGAAAGAGAGAGGGGGGTGACAGCAGAAGAGGGACTATTGGGGTGCAACTCGGGGAGAGCCAGGAGATTATGATAGTGAGGAGTGAATATAAGCAAGATACAATGATGCATTTGTCATAATGAAACCAATTACCTCATGACAGCTAATATATTAATAATAGATGATAAGGGATGGGTGGATGATTGGATGGACAAAATTAGAAAAGCAGCATCCATAAAGAACATTCTTACAAACACTCTAGCCTAAGAACCTGGTAAGTCCTTTACATTAAGAAGGGGCTGGAGAGATGGCTCAGTGGTTAAGGGTGCTGGGTTCAGCTTTCAGCACTCACATGGTGGCTCACAACCATCTATAACTCCAGTTCCAGGGGATCTAACACTGTCTTCTGGCCTCTGCTGGCACTGCACACCTTTAACAAGCATACATAGTGCAGGCAAAACACTCACAGACATGAAAATAATGTTTTTTAAAGGATGCTTTATAAAACTTCCTTTTATGTATTTTTATATACCCAGTAGGAATTTTCTTCATACTTATAGCTTAAGTCTATTTACAGTTCTTCAAGAAAAGTGGTGACTGCCTTGTGCTTTCTTCTTCCTCCTACAGTCCCACTACAGGAGCTTGGGTCCAGAGTTTCACCGAGTTCTCTTTGATTTTGGAGGTCAGAGCCCGCTAATTTTGTACTATCTTAAAATGCACAAGTCAGGTGGTATTTCCATCACTCATAAACAAACAGGAAGTAAACTCACCAAGATACTCCAAGAGCCATATCCTTCCTAAGCTTGGCTTCAAGGCGATCAGTTTCTAAGACAGTGGAAACTGTCTATTCTCTGTCCCAACTTTTAAATGTGTTTTGACTGGCACTTTATGTAGTATTTACTTAGGCTTTGTTTACTTCTGCAGCATGTTTGACTTAACTGATGTCTCTTTTAGCATCAAGGCTATGATCTACTATATAAGCAAAGCAAAGAGAACATGAAGCCTGACCACCACCACCCCCAACATGCTAAGTCCCTTCCCCAAAGTCTGTCTTGCCACCTTGTTGTTCCATGCTGGTTAAAGCATTTGTCATAATTGTTGGTCATTGGCTTCTGACTCCCCAAAGGGAGTCTCATGTGTGCTTTACTTGTGGACACTTTGTACACTTGGAAAATACCCATCATGGTTCAGGAGTCACTGTCGACCCAGAGGAACTCTAACTGGGTCTAGTGCAAACTTCCCTCTGTGTATAGGAATACTAAGATTTTTCTTCATGATATCTATTTCTGTCTTTGAAAATAAAAGGTTACACTTTACAAATCCTTGATAGACAGATAGCCCGACTGAACTCTGGCCTCCATCTGTACTCTCCTGTGGAGGGCTAACAGTAGATTGTTGTGCTCATGTGGTTTGCTAAATAGCACAACACATCACTGTTTGTTTTTTCATGTAATAAGGACATTTATAAATTCCGTCACCTATTTAAATTAAATTAATACTCATTAATGGAGCAGTAGCTTAGCAATACTCCTTAAAAGAAATCATGGGGTAGTGATAATATTTATAATGCAACATAAATATAACTATATCTTATAAATGTGTAAATGTAAGTTTTCAAAAACAAGAAAGTGGCAGAATCATGCTTCATCTGTTCCCTGCAAGAGTTCTTTTTCAGCCATGCTAATGAATGAAGTCAGGGATGACCAAGTCCTTCTTGCTATAAGACAAAAATGTGAAAAACAAAACCTAATCAGAAAGTAGCTAGTTCCTCTATTGGTCTGGGTTCTCTAAAGGAACATAACTGATAGAATGAATTATTAATTAACTGAATGAATAAGTTATTACTTATTAATGAAAACATCAATGAGTTGATAATGAATGGATATATTAATAATGATTTGATATGTTAAAAGGGATTTATTAAAGACTGTGGTACAGGTGGTCCAACAATGGCTGTCTCCCAGTGGCAAGGTCAAGACAGGCTGTCTATCTGGTCTGCTGCTAGAGTTGCTGAGGATTTCCAGAGATCTGCTGGTCTGCAGTCGGTGTTAGAATCCCAAAGATGTAGGTTCTAACACCAGAGGGTGTGGGGGTCAGAACACAACTTTCAGGAGCTGCTGTAGGAACTCTAGGTTCTGGAACCCAAACTCAGGTCATGAGGCCTGTGCAGCGAGTTCCTTCATCGCCTGAGCTGTCTGGTTGTTTCCTTAGCAACATGCTTTTAAGAGGGATGTTATGCACACCGAGACAGCAGCCTCTTGCCATGGGCGGAGGGAGTCTTATCTGCAGTGTCTCCCCCATGTATCCCTGTCTTTACCCTGTCTTGAGATTTCCTCTTCCTTCTCTCCCCTCATTCTGGATTCTAATCTTATCTAATTATTTTCCAGATGTTTCAACTCCTCCTCACTCAGTGTCTGAGTTGCTTTCTCACCTGGGCATGCCTTCATTACCCAAATCCAGGGTTCAAGCTGTTTCTTGCAGATGACTTAACCAACATTGGCAGGAAACCTATTACGTTCTGGGTAATGTGTTGTGTACTAGGGATGTGGCCACAGCCCACCTTCAGAAGCCCATGCTGTCATCTTCACCAGGACCACCAAAGAGGCAGCCTTTTTGTAACCACCTCACATGCCTCCTTTAATACTTTCTATTATTATTCACTCTGTCCTCACTGTTGCAAAACTTTGCAACACTGTTGCTCATTGGTTTCTATGGTGGCATGGTCAGATCCCACGAAGCCGGCTTCCTATGCACAGAAATAACAGAATCCACAGAACGTGGGTATTTTTCCCATGTCCTGAAGCATCAGGATCACATCTGACACACAGATGAAGCGCAGGATGTTGAACCAGGGGACCTTGATCAGAGCACCTCACCCTGAGAGAAGAGGGAAAGGGGGTTCTCCAGGTCGCCTTTCTCCACGAAACTAGCACTTCGGGGATGTTTGCTGCTTCTCCATGATTGTGTACATCATTGTCTACATGATCCAGTCTCAAGATGACCTGAGAAAATGTCACCAGAAGAGTGAGACCAAGAGAAAGGGGCAGAGAATGGAGCAAAGAGACCTCAAGGAGCACTGGAGAGGTTCTGAGGAAAAGCCTTGTCTTTGTTGTTCCTCTGGTGACGTCCCAGGGCCACAGTGGCCAACTGGATATAGCTTTGTCTCCTGCGTCCCACAGAAGAAAAAAGACCATGAAAGCATCATCAGATAAAGGACACACGAAGTATTTAAGTCCTGCTCTTGGTGAGGATGCATTTCATTCTATTTGTAGATGACTTTTGCTTGAAGCTATTCTTCACTTCCTGGGAGGGGGGTAAATTTCTTTTAGAAAACTGCCAGTTAGAAGTGGGGGTGAGGACTTGTGAAGTGAAAAGCGTTTTTTAGAACACACGGGACAAAGGGGCTTTGTCCTGTGAGCCTGAGGCCGAGCACAGGCGTGTGTGCCACAGGTATTCTGCAGCCACCCGGAGCCAGAAGTCATTAGAAAAACATCAGGAAGATGTGGTCCTTTCTTGTTACAAACTCAGTTTAAGTTCTGATTTTTTTTTCTTTTTTGTTTAAAAAAAAATACGAAACACAATTGGCCAACTTGTTGTTACCCTTTACACAATTATCCTGACCCAGACATGGATGAGGTGGGATGAAGAAGCCCTGGTACACAGGGCTTGTGGCTGGAAAACCTCCCCAAGCATGAAGAGAAAGGTGCCCATGAGCTGTCAAGTGTACTAAGAGAATACACCACTGTGTGCAGTTTTGGACACATAGCAACTACTATGGATTATAAACTACCTAATCAAGAAAATGATTCTCAAGAGGCTCTGTGCAGAAAAGCCTGATGGCCTGAATTCAATCCCCCAGCCGGGGAAGGAGAAAACCAAAGCGGTGGCACACATCACACACATACACACATCTCATACACACACACACACACACACACACACACACACACACAAACACATACATCACATACACATAACACACAAACATATATCATACACACATACATCACATATACATCACACACACATACACACACTCACATCACACACATATCACACAACATCACATCACACATGCACACATCACACACACATAAACAAACACATACATCACACACACACCACACACATACATCATATATACATCACACATCACACATATACACTTATATCACACACATATCACACATCACATCACACATGCACACATCACACACACATAAACAAACACATATATCACACACACATAAACAAACACATATATCACACACACATAAACAAACACATATACATCACACACACACACTCACATCACACACATATCACACAACATCACATCACACATGCACACATCACACACACATAAACAAACACATACATCATACACACACACCACACATATACATCACATATACATCACACACACATCACACATATCACACAACATCACATCACACATGCACACATCTCACACACACATTGCACACATGCACATAAAAATTACTTTTAAAAAAAGAGAGAGAGAACATTTGTCATCATCCAGAGATTCTTCCTAGGGTCCGTGAACTACAGTAGAAGGTCACTGTAGTTATAAAAATGGTCCATCCTCAGAGATCACTGATCAGAACAAAGGGAGAAAGTGACCACTCAGGACCAGTGAAAACTTCAGAAGCACAGGGCATTACTGATTGTTTTAATGTGTCCTTTGCTTTGCATAGTGAAGCTGCTATTAAGCTCTTGATTTATGTATTGCTTTCTAATGCATGTGTCAATTCTATTCCACGACTTAATGAGAGAAAAGAAAAGCTTTGCACATTTAATCCCAGCACTTGGGAGGCAGAGCTAGGCAGATCTCTGTGAGTTCGAGGCCAGCCTGGTCTACAGAGTGATTTCCAGCACAGCAGGGCTACATGAAGAAATCTGTCTCAAAAAAAAAAAAAAAGAAGGAAGGAAGAAAGAAAGAGAGGGGGAGAGAGGGAAACAGAAGAAAAAAAGAAAATCTTTATATTAGGAGGAATTTTTACCATGGCATTCTCTACTTTTCTGTTACACCCATGAGCACCATGGTCCTGTTGTCCTGTATGGCCTTCCTGCCATATCTTACAATAATACATTTAGAAGATGTCATCTGAACCTCAGTTTCTTCATTTATAATTGGACCCTACAGCTTCTATGATCCACTCTTTCCCGCTACATGGAGTGTGAACTACAGACTCCAACTGAGGCCTCTAAGTTATCTGTCTTGGTTTGGTACAGCCCAACCACAGCTGTTGTGACATTCAGAAGAGAACAATTTTATTTGTCCCCAAATGGCTCCTTCTCCACGTAGTGGCTTGCTATGCACCCTTGGAGCCATGCATGGGGTTCGAGGCCAATTCAGACAAGGGAACTGGAAAGCATGTTGCCACAGCTTTCCCAGAGGGGCAGAAAATGGCCATTATTCATAATTTACAACTTTTAAGTACTCTATATTTCTTCAGCAGGGATAAAATCGTGGCTTTAAGTGTCTGAAGAGAATGAAAACTAGGACACTCATTAACACACATTAGCAAAAGTCTGCTGAAAACCATTGCTGTTAAACAATACAAGAGAACACTGAGGTCTTCGTCAACACTAGCATAATATGGCCCAGAACTACACTGTAGAATACAAATGGACAATAAGGATCAAGCTTGTAAGTAATTAGAATGTCTTTATGAAGAACTTATACCCGGCTCATTTCAATAAAGCCATATGTTCAAACTTGAAAATTTTCAGGAACTGAAACATAACTCTATTTCAGTACCAATAGTATTTTCTTGGAAAACCCAATTCACCCAAAATGCCACACAAATCATTTCACAGATGCTCATCCATGGAAGCTCACCCATACTCAGGACACAGCAGAACTGTACAAAGGAAGAAAAGCTAACTCCTAACCAGTACTCTAGGGGATTGATTAAATACTAGCAGGAAATTGTTGCATTCCAAATTGAGCATTTTAGCAAGATTCCTGGAAAAGCGTGTCATTAATTGTTCAATCCCCCTACCCCAACGATAGAACTTTCTGAAGCTTTTCCCCAGAGAAGCTGAGAAGCCACAACATTAGATGCGTTAATGTGGCAAAGAATGCCCCAGGCAGTGGAAGCAACCTGATGATTGTAGGTCCTCTGTTCTGGGGCTGGTCGATGACTATGTGGCTGCGGGAAGGTTTGGTGGATCTGGGATTTCAGAGTCCTTATTCAGGTAGAAAGTGAGACAACTATCTTTTCCCTACCATGTGCCTGCCCCAGCTCCCAACTAACCTAAAGCAGTAAACATGCACGCCTCCATTGCTGGGCTCTTGGGCAAGACAACATAAAGCACTCCTTTACAGATACCAAGATACAACATCTGGACTTCAGAACATTCGGGCACAGGTCCTCAGTGAAAGGTTTTGCAAACATTAAAATAGTCCCTTCAGCAGAGCACAGTGGTGCATACCTGAAGTGCCACACTTGGGGAGTGAGGTGGGAGGATCACCTGAGCCTACAAGTTCAAGACCAGCCTGACAGCATCTAGACAACAAGACACAACAAATCTTGTCTGTCTACAGCAGTTACCACAGACATGCATGTGTGGGAGAATTGTGATCGTGTAGTTGCAAGATGCCAACTACTGTGCTAAAATAATATAGCAGTACACAGGACAAATGCGGCACAGGAAAGGGGAAATGGTTTCAGTTCGGGGAATGCAGGAATATGAGGGGATTTTCTCTTTTGGTTATGTTAATGTTTTCATTGTACATTAATATTTTGTGGTTTTGAGGCAAGGTCTTGCTGCTATGTCACCCAGGCTGGCCTGGAACTTGTGATCTTAGCCTCCCACATGCTGGGATTAGGTTAACTGAGCATCTACATTGGTTGGTACAGTCTCAGAAGAGACTTTGAAGTTCTCAGTAGATTCCAAAGGAAATACTTAAACAAGATTACAAAATTGGAGTAGAATTTAATGCTTACTAAAAGTTTAACAAATTTCTGTTTTTAAACACACACACACACACACACACACACACACACACACACGCTACAACACTCACACACATACACACACTTGAATATACACACAGGGTTTATGAAACTACTAAATTAGAATGCCTAGGGAAAGAAGCTCAAAGCAAGCTGAAAAGTGGTCTTTACGCTCAGCTCTTTATAACGGCAGACATGGCATTCACATTTATGCTTCATGTCTCGAGAAAGGAACCCAGGCCAGAGGCTCCCTGAGAAGGGTCCCATTTACCTTTCCTAAACAGTCCTCACTGGAAATCATTCCTTGACTGTCAGCCCAGCACACCCCCTGCTCCAACATACAGTGACATCATCAAGGAGGCCAAGAGGAGATTTGCAAAGAACAAAAGGGATTTTAGGAGGTAAGTCGGAGCAGCACTGTGGCTTTAAGATAAGATGTTTTAGCAACCAGAGGTGGTAGTAGAAATTGCCTGAACTTGATCTCTGCTGGTGAGGAGGGTTCTTGTTGAACATCTTCTAGAGCCCCAGATTCTTTTCTCAGGTCAAGTGTCTGTGCTGTAATCATGGAGCCTGACAGCTATCAGGGACTAGAGTGGGTAAGAAGCCTTCCTGTGGGGTACACCCCAGTGTAGGAAGACCAGATCACCAAGCAATAGAGACTGGAGCATCGCCACTTTACGAAGATGAACTTGGAAAGCAGGACGGTTGTGTGCTGTGGAAGCAACATCTGGAACTGGGGTGGCAGCCGGGTGGCGTGGAAGACACTGAGACAGGGCAGACTCTCGGAAAATGTTTTCTCCGAGAACGTTTTCTGCTTGTGCTTGATAAGCGATCACTCCTGGACAGTCCTGACACTTTTATGTGCTGGAGAGTTAGGAATGGGCTATGCAAGAATGCCCGTGAATTTTTACAAGGCAAATCTGGCATGATCTGCTTTATGATGTCAAGGTAACTGTCTACAGACTGTTGCCTTTGAGGGAAGGAAGGACCAGACCCGGCCTTGGGAATTCAGTGCTGCTCATGGAACAGGGAGATGAAGGAGCAGCCACTTCGGTTCTAGCCAGCATGGAAGACACAGTCTGTGCTCCTCTCCCTATGTCTTCCCATTCCCCCCTCCCCTCCCCCACAAGCATGCCCACATAGTGGGGAAAGGTGTTAGTAAGCCCTGATGGGAGCAGTGAGGCGTTGTCTCAGGTCACACTGCTGGTGTGTTTCCAAAGGGAGTGTGGGGAGGGCTTGGCACACCAGGCGGGCCCTGGCTTTTTACTGTATCCCGCCCCACGTAGGCTCCTCGGCTGCTTTGTTTTTAAATGTGAACTCGAAATGTTGATGCGTTTTGTTTCTATTCTACAGAACAAAGCAAAGAATCCGAGAAGACATCAAGACGCTGAGAGAGCAGCAGGAGACAGTTGACAAGGAGCTTGACCGGTTTGTGTAGCCCTGGACTTTGTAGTGCTTAAGTCGCTTTCCATTGACAAATTCACAGGAAACCACAGCGGGTTTGCTGTATGAATAGATCTTCAATATCTACAAAGAGTGATATCCCACTTAACAGTCCATCCACAGAGTGCTTCTCCACCTTCCTAATGCCACAACCCTTTAATACAGTTCCTTATGTTGCGGTGACCCCCCCAACCATAAAATTATTTTTATTGCTACTTCATAACTGTAATTTAGCTACTGTTATGAATCATAATGCAAACATCTCTGTTTTCCAATGGTCTTTGGCAACCTTGGGGTTGCGACCCAGGGGTTGAGAGGCACGGATCTAGAACAACCCACTAACTCCCTTCATTAAAAAAAAAAAAAAAATCACCTTCTGCCAACTGAATTCATTGCTAAACATTGTGATTATCTAGTTTCACTTCAGCCATAGGACTTAGCCTGTAACTGTGCCCTGCCTGGGAAAGACATAAGCTAGAAAACAGCCCTTCTGCTGGCCTCTCTGGGACTGCAGCCTTGTGGCACTTCTGACCCCGCTATGCATGCAAGCATGTTTCCCGATGGAGCGGGATGATTTGGCTGATTTCCTTTGTTTTATAAATTGGGGTATAAAATGGGAAATACAACGAGTCGAGGTGGACTGACTCCCTCCGCTCAGATGATGCGGCCCTTTTTAAGCCCCCTTGAGAGACTGGAGCTCGACCAGTCTCTGTAAATGTTCTGCATTCCCAGTCACCAAAGTCCAACCCACAGCTTTAAAAATCTTATCTTACCCCTCACCAAAAAACAAAACAAAATCCCATCAGCTACCGCTCCCTCTTGCAACCCCTAAAGTAGGTCATCAGATTCCCAGTGACTCAAACCAGAGCCCACAGGAACCGTGTCTTCAAGCTCAGAACATGAGGGGGTTCTCAGAGAGGATCCGAATCTGCATTCAAAGAAGCATGTGTCACACAGGAGAAAGGGGAGGTGGAAGTGCTCTTGTGGATAGCTACCCCATGCACCAGGGGCAGGAACAGGCTCACCATATTACCCTCCACGACAGTCATGCCAAATGAGGCCATGAAGGGGAAACACAGTCAGAAAGCAGGGCTTAGTAGTGAGGATAGTCACAAAACTTGATGAATAGACAAAACTCTCGAATTACATGTTGTAAAATGTGAATTTTAGGCCATGTTACCTATATCCCAATAAGACCAGGAGGCACAGATGGGTAGATTTTAACAAAATGAAGTACAACTGTGTCTAAAATTAACACACAACTCAAGGGGTGCACAAGAGAAAGGGCACTGGGGAGTTGGGGACTCCGCTGCCTGATGCATCAGCTGTAGTATTTCTCAACTGAGTAGTTGCTAACTAAAGATCCCTGGGGTTCGTCCTCAAGGAGCTTGACCTAGCACACACCTTTGCACAAATGCGCCTTGGCCATCTCCTTATCTTCCCCAGTGGCATTGTGCGACGCCCCCACAAGTTCTGGACAATGGAGGTAGGGTAGTTAGGGTAATGGTTAGTGATGTATCTAACTGAAGGCGGCGCTCTTCCGCTGGGGTGAGAGTCACAAGGGACTAGGGACTAAGGCATCAAGGAAAGGCTTGGATTAAAATCATCTGCTTCCTAGACTTGTGTGTGAGGTAGTGACAGCAATTTTGCCTGTCTGAGCCTATTATATCCTCATTGACAGACATGATGAAAGTTATCCCTGCTTGCTAGAGTTGTAAGGAGATAGCATTCATACATGTAGAGGGCCAGCAAGAGCACAGCGCAGTTAGTCTTTGCAAATACTGGCTAGGAGATGCATATGAAGAGTCCATTTGCTCAAGTGTTTTTCTTTATTCCATTAGGCTCCAAGCAAAGGCTTCCAAAAACATCCAAGAAGTCAAAGTAGACTTTGAGATTTTTCTACATAAAATGGTATGTTTCCTTCCTGGAAATAATTGAGAGTTCTCTCCACAGCTTTTTGCCTCCAGATCTCACTATGTGTCATAAGCAATGCACAGTCACACCCACGCTGCAGGGGCAGAAACAACACATCCTTATCACTGATGGTCCACTACAAAGTGGAGATAACCCATTCTAAAGTCCACTGATAACCTCATGGCCACTGTCCTCATGCCTTGCTTCTAAAACAGTTCCTGGGACGGTGTCTGTAACTAAAGACCCCATAAAGTGCAATTGGGCAAAAACTAGAGGAAATGATTGGTGCTTGAAGTTGTGTTTTAGTTGTTATTAATAATTCAGCAAAGCTAATATGATGCCATTAGCTTGTGTGAAAAGAATCCTCCTGCCCTCAACTCACCCAGTGCAAAGGAGACGGCGACAAAACTCCAAACAGAGCTCAGATGTGAGGAGAAAGGAGAGGGATGGAGAGTTCCTGTCCATTTTCCCGGGCCCTTCTTTTCTGCTCCTCCAAGCCTTCTGGGCGGTCCTGTAAGGTCTGAAGGACCATGCTTTCTGAAGGGCAAAACATGTAGATGCTGGCACACAGGAAAGCAGACTGGACTATCTGAGGCTATGGATGGAGGGATCCAGCATGAGAGGTTTCCCCGCTGCAGTCCAGACTCCAGAGCAATCCCATCAGCTGTGGGTCTAATACCCAAACCGGGATGAGTAAGATTCCTATACAGAGAGGTGCTAGAAAGCCATAAAACACTGAAATGTTTCTATTAGACACACAAGACCATTGGCTTTTTTAAAAAGTGTTGATCATTATTCCTATTTTTCTTGATGTATTTCCTACTACTGAATGCATGAGAACATTAGTGCACTTGAGCAGGTAAGGGCAGACTCTGCAAGGAGCTGTGGAAACCAGCTCACCCTGACACTAAGGCTGCAACTTCAGCCTCCTTCATTGTTACCTGCAGGAAGCAATCTTCTCTCAGCTTTCCATCAGTAACACAGACTCTTGAACAAAATCTCCAGATTTAGAGCCCACATTGTCAAATGCTAATGGGACAAACTAAATACATTTGCAGTCCAGATGTGGCCTGCTTTCCTGTTCTGAATGCTGCTGCCTGGTCCGGCCAGCGCAGCTGACATGATTCTTCAATGCATTTTAAAGCAAACCCCTGCATTCTCACAGAGCCTTCCACACAGCCAGGGTCTGTAGGCCATATTCGTGTTCTGCTGGTCCGCACTGCCTACTCACTAGCTTTCAAACTCTAGCCATCCTTCAGTGTCACACTCAGAGTCCATTTCTTTATGAGCCTCATGCCCTTGATCCCATCCCTGTTCTTCAAGGAAGAGCTGGATATGCCTCTCAACTTCTAGAACACCAGTTGCTGAGGGTAGGTTCAAAGAAGTTCTTAACGGACATAGAGTCAAACCAGAGTAGAAAAGGTTCAATGGACTCTGTGCCTCCTCAAAGACAAAACACCGAGAATGAGTGTGTCCACATGGAGGTGTGCACACTGAACTGTTAGAATGAGTGTGTCCACATGGAGGTGTGCACACTGAACTGTCAGAATGAGTGTGTCCCTGTGGAGGTGTGCACACTGAACTGATAGAGTGAGTGTGCCCCTGTGGAGGTGTGCACACTCAACTGATAGAATGAGTGTGTCCACATGGAAGTGTGCACACTGACCTGTTAGAATGAGTGTGTCCCTGTGGAAGTGTGCACACTGAACTGTTAGAATGAGTATGTCCCTGTGGAGGTGTGCACACTAAACTGTTAGAATGAGTGTGTCCACATGGAGGTGTGCACACTGAACTGATAGAATGAGTGTGTCCCTGTGGAGGTGTGCACACTGAACTGATAGAGTGAGTGTGCCCCTGTGGAGGTGTGCACACTGAACTATTAGAATGGCTGTGTCCCTGTGGAGGTGTGCACACTGAACACTTAGAAACTGTGTCCCCATGAAGGTGTGCACACTGAACTATTAGAATGAGTGTGTCCCTGTGGAGGTGTGCACACTGAACTATTAGAATGACTGTGTCCCTGTGGAGGTGTGCACACTGAACTATTAGAATGACTGTGTCCCTGTGGAGGTGTGCACACTGAACTGTTAGAATGAGTGTGTCCTCATGGAGGTGTGCACACTGAACACTTAGAAACTGTGTCCCCATGAAGGTGTGCACACTGAACTGTCAGAATGAGTGTGTCCCTGTGGAGGTGTGCACACTGAACTGTCAGAATGAGTGTGTCTACATGGAGGTGTGCACACTGAACTGTTAGAACGATTGTGTCCACATGGAGGTGTGCACACTGACCTGTTAGAATGAGTGTGTCCCTGTGGAGGTGGCACACTGAACTGTCAGAATGACTGTGTCCCTGTGGAAGTGTGCACACTGAACTGTTAGAATGAGTGTGTCCAAATGGAGGTGTTCACACTGAACTGTTAGAATGATTGTGTCCACATGGAGGTGTGCACACTGACCTGTTAGAATGAGTGTGCCCCTGTTGGGGTGTGCACACTGATTATTTAGAACTACTGAACATTTTCCTCATCATCCTCAGAAGGAATTCCATGGGGAAAATCATTAAATGGGCTAACAGCAGTCTCACATGATTCAAGTTTTGTTTTTTAAAGAATTCTAAACCAACCACAAATTATCTGTGGGGGAAAAGGCCATGAAAAAATGCGGCATTATAAACAAATTTGATTCTTAGATTCCTGTGCTTAAGAAAATTCAAAATTCTTTCAACAAATTTGATCCAAATTGCCCAGGTATTTAGAAGAAAATGTGTCAGGAGCTGTTTTTAGGGTGAATCTGGGTTTCCTGGTGACTTGTTTTTTAAGAACTACCCCAGCCTACCTAGGTCTTTTAGAGACAAACAGAGGATGAACCCCAGTCACTGAATGCTGGTTAATGGGCCAACACAATCATATGACACAAAAACTGTGGTAATATTTGGGTGATTCCAACCACAACACAACTGCTGTGTCCGTCACATGAATGTTTCAGCAAAACCCACTTTGGTCTCTGCATCCCGCAGTGTAACTTGGAGAGAGATTCTGGGAGTCTGCCATCGGCATGTCACCACGTGACCAGACACTTCCGCCCTCTTTTGATAAGTGTTCCAAGTCCTCACTCCACCCCTGTCAATGTCAGATCACACTCTAGGCATTTGCCTCACCCACACCTGCATACCACACATCTGCCACTACACCAAGGATACAAGCAGGCCTTGCCAAGCATCCAGAAGAGGGGTGTGGGGTAGGGGTGGGGCTGCCAGAATAGGCATGCTTCTTGGATTGGAAAGGCATTTGAGAAATGGTAGTGTGAGTGGAAAGAAAGTCAATTCAATTTTTCTTCTGAAATCGATCTTTCGGCCCCTCCCCTCAAAGTGATCTTCACCATCTTCAGAGATACAGGAATCTCCCACTCAAGTATACTGTGTGTGTCTATGAATATTTGCAAATTCTTAACCATGCCCTGTGTCCACAGCGTGTTGAGGCTAAACTCAAGGAGGAATATAAAGGATCATCAATATCACCATCCTCAGAGTCACCACAGTCGCCACAGTCGCCACAGACACCATCGTCATCATCCAGTATCCTGTCAGAAGACTTCTACCATGTGGAAGAGAGCTAAGGGGAGCCAGCAGTGACCACCATTCACGAACAACACATAGAGTTCAGCTGCTGTAGTTTCATTGTAGCAGTGTTCAATGAAAAGTACATTTTGCTATTCATCTTTAAACATCTTCAAATAAATAAATCTTAGTCATACTTTAAAGATTTATTCTTGGCATATCCTTGGCTCTGATTCATGAAAAATATACTCACGAGAGAAAAGTAGTCATTAAGAAGCATAGCTTTCACCATTTTTTGGAAATGCATCTTGATAATAGCAACCGTCCATCAGAACAGAACAGAAAGGGGACTGATTTGCTGTGGTACAGAAAGTCTGGCCAGCTCTAAATGCCCGAGATAGTTTCTCTGAGATGGTTTACATTGTTTAGGCCTCAAGGAAAACCAAAGCCCCGCCTCCAGGTTTGGTGGCGAACAAGCTGTGCTTCTCCAGAGCCGGGCTGCGACTGTTCCTCCGGTAATAAGCTTCGTAGACATTCGTGAGGAAGCTGGACAGCATGTCAGCAGGCACCAGGGACACTGTGCAGCCTCCCCAGCCTGCTCCAGTGAGTCGTGAACCTTTGGCCCCAAACTTCCTAAAACAATGAGAAGAAAAACAAAAACACATTACCACCTATAAACAAAAGCAAGAGCAATTTTTACAGAACACATCCACTTCTCAGGTTCTCTGAAGAGAGTATGGGGGGATTCAGGGATTTCAAGCTTTAAGAAATATATATTGGGAACTTGCCGGGAGGTGGTGGTGCACTCCTTTAATCCCAGCACTCGGGAGGCAGAGGCAGGCGGACCTCTGTGAGTTCGAGTCCAGCCTGGTCTCCAAAGCGAGTTCCAGGAAAGGCACAAAGCTACACAGAGAAACCCTGTCTCGAAAAACAAAAAACAAACAAACAAACAAAAAAAAGAAATATATATTGGGAACTGGGAAGATGGCTCAGAAGGTAAAGTGTTTACCACTCAAGCAGACACATAAAAGGTGGATACTGTAGCCCAGATCTGCAACCCCAGAATTCAGAATTGGCTAGAAAAGTTATAGGCAGGCAGGTCTGTGAAGCTCAGCAGATAGCCAGTCTAGCAGAATTATGAGCTCTATGTTCAGGAGAGCCTCTCTCAAAAAATAAGGTGGCAAAATATAATTTTAAAAACATGTAAAGTGGAGAGCTATGGATGAAGTCAACCTTTGGCCTCTACACACACATACACATGCATGAAAGTTCATTTACACGCTTGCGTAGACAACACACACACACACACACACACACACACACACACACACACACACACACACGAGAAATCTAAATTGAATATAATTTACAATTTTTTTTTTCAGTTCTCAGGACTGAGAAACTTTTTAGGGCTATCTGAAGCTACTCCTTGGTGTTAAGGGTAAATAATAACTATCAACAGTGCTGACTGTCCAGGTCTGGAACCACCACTGTAGACTCGATCCCATATAACCATACAGTAGCAGCTGGAAAACTTGTGTAGCAAGTCTCCAGTTAATCAGGACGGAAGGTAAAAAGAAGGTGGGCAGTAGACATGAGCGTCATGAGGAATCAGTCACCTCAAAAGAGGGTAAATCAAAATCAGTATGTACAGCATAATACTCTCCATAACTGTTTCAGCTGCATTCTGTTTTGTTGAGATAAGGGAGGTATGCATGTGTACATGTTCCTGTGTGCGCACATGTACAGGTATATAAGCACCTGTGCAGGCCAGAGGTCAACATCTGGTACCTCCCTCCATTGTTCTCCACTTTATTTTCCAAGCCAGGGTCTCTCACTGAACCTGAAGTCCATTGATTCTGCAAGGCCGGCTGGTCAGCAAGCCCCAGAGACCCTTCTGCCTCTACTTCCACAACGCTAAGATTGCAGGGGTCCGTTCCTATAACTGCTTTCTTATGTGAGTGCTGAGAAGCCCAGTCCAGCTCCTCATGCTTGCAGGGCAAGCCCTTGACTGACAGCCATCTCCAGCTCTCAGTTGTGTTCATAAGACTTCTTCATTTCACATACCCAGTTCAGACTGTAGGGCTGGGGGCTGGGCATGCAGCTCAGTGGTAGAGGGCTTGCCTAACATAAATGAGATCTGGGTTCAATAGCCAGCACCACAGGGTTGGGGGTTGTTCCCTCAGAACTGACAGCCTAGGTTTATTCTGCATAGATTTATTAACACAGAACTTGATAGTAAACTCTAGGTTGGCTGGTTGGTTGGTTGGTTGGTTGGTTGGTTTGATTGATGACTAACGGAAAATTATGCAAACCTTTCCACAAAATGGATGGTGGTCCTAGAGGTGCATACTGTCTTCCCTGCACTTTCTGGGACTGGGCTAACAAGTGGACCCAACTTTGCCAACAGATGAGATGCTCACTAAGAGGGAACAACTCTATAAACCACCATGTAGCCAGAAATTGCTGTAGTCACCATCCCAACATATTTCCAATTGATTTTTCCTAATGAAATTCACTCCAAATTAGTAATAGATTTAAAACCTCATAATTTAGCCCAATTCTGTCCCCCTTTCCCCTCTACTTCCTGGAAAACATCAACAGAATAACAAGAACACTCCCCTCCTCCAGGAAATCAGGGTTACTACACGTCAGCCTCCCACTTTTCCCTCAATGATGCTCTCTGCTGATTGCATCATCTGTTTTATTCAAATATGTTTTTCTTAAATGTGAAGAAAGTGTTTACCAACCATAAAAGATTACTAATCTTCTGAAAGTCCTCAAATAGCAGTCTCCTAGCTGACTTAGGCCCAAACTGCTATCATCCAGGCTGAAAATTCACTTTAATCATGAGAATCTAGAAAGCTAGAAAAGGCTTGTTTGTAGTATTTTTTTTTTTAATTTAAAGGAGAAACTTTGCCATAGTGGCTGCATCAAACACTATCATTGCTGAAGAAGCTGGGAGAAAAGGGAGACTCCTTGAAGCATCTCAGAAAGATCCTTAAAGGCAACCACAGCCTGGTCTAGATGGCAGTGTGCCCACCTGATGCTCTATGAGTACAATTCACCAGGTCTTTAACTGCCTTCCATGGGCCTTTTGGGCATATTTTCATACACTTCTGTTTTGAACAGTTTGAACAGAGTGGTGCCGCACACGTGGGAGGCAGAGGATGGATGGTCACAGAAAGTTTGAGTCCAACCTGTTTCAGGACAGGAATACATAGTCAGAGTCTGTCTCAAAACATTAAAACAGAAAAAAAAAAAAAAAAGATTTCAAAACAGTGTTGTTTCTGATCTAGCTGCAAGAGATTCATTTTCCCAAACCATCTGCCAGTTCACACTGAGCTAAGAGGCTAAGAGGAGACCTCTAGGCAAATTAATTTGCTTCTGAATGTTCAAACTGCTCTGTGGCCACCCTGCCTGCTGCAGAAGAGAATGGGCTAGATTGCATCAACCCAAGCTGCAAAATCATCAGAGCTCAGTATTTTCATCTTTTCTTTCTTTCTTATTTTTGACAGAAAAAAAACATGGAGTTGAGTGGGAAGGGATTTGGGGAGGTCTGTGAGGAGTTGGGAGAAAGAAAATAATATGATCAAAATACATCATATAAATAAATAAATAAATAAATAAATAAATAAATAAATAAATAAATAAATACATAATACACAGCCTTCTGTCCACAGTCAACAGCATTTGAGTTCACAAACCAGAAGTTGCTGTATCGATAGTCAGCAGCCTGCCTTGTTCACACACACACACACACACACACACACACACACACACACACACACACGGTGGAGGTGGAGGGTCAGGGTAGAAAAGTCTTAACTGCAGTGTTTCGCACTGATCCTTAGTGTGCCCTTTGCATATGTCTCTGAAACTACAAGGAAGGTCTAAAGTTGGGAGACCAATAAAGTGTTAAATTAAGAAGGAAATATAGATGAGTCAAGACTGCTTAATAAACCTTACATTTGAAGTTCTGAGAAAATAGTGATAATTAAAAGTATATTTCCTTCACTATAACATATCAGAGAAGAAACAGGAGAATTGTAAGAAAAAACTCTAAAATTTCACACATGCCATTGTGATGATGATGAGGATGGTATAAAAACGGTTGGGAGAAAATCATAACTGACTGCCCAGCCTGTTACAGTCTACCCTAATGCCCTAATTTCAATAAACCTGGCTGATCAAAAAGCTTTGACTGGGATGTAAGGCACAAGGCAATGGGTGGCAGAGGACAGAAAGACCCAACTGCTACAAACTAAAAAGAGAGAAAACAGCAGACTATGCCTTGCATTTCCATTCATTTCAAAATAAGTAAATATTTATGTCTTATACAAATGGGTGTGAATTGCTTGGGGAGCTGGAATATAGAGACAGTTCATATCCATCTCTTCCCAGGACAAGCACAGATCTAGCGTTTTGGTAGGTTATAATGCATTCAGCTGGACTCCTGTTTTAAAACACAGATATCATGTTAGATAAATACAAGCAATGTACAGTGTCTCCTTCACTGCGAAGAGTTCCAGTTTCTTCTCTTTGGGAACTGGCAAGAATGTCAGGAAATAAACCTTTTGCATAATTTCTACACATTTTTATAGTTAGATTACAGACATTGTCAAACTGCTTTGGAGTCAAGAAACCACAGTCTCCCTATGCTACTGAAGGAAGAAGGAATGAGAAAACATGTCTCCAGATGTGTCGCAGAGTGTGGGCTTTTGTTTGAGCAAACAGGGTGTATAGTATATCAGTGTTCCCAAAATTCCTTCCCAGGGGGAAATTAAGCAGCATCCACCCTCCTCCTAAGGTCTCAACAACAAACAGGCATGATTTCTCCCAAGTTCACTTGGTGAGAGGCAATGAAGGAGTTTATTGGGCTTCTTTATATAGCACAGGTAAGGGATTGCTTAGAGGGAGGTATGTGTTCTAGTGTTCCCCAAAAGGCTGTGCCTAGGAAACCTTTCCCCAGCAAGGGTGAGGTCTCTCCTCTGCCATAAGCCACCCTCCTCTACTCTTCCCAGGCCTTTATAATCTAGCCCCTCCCCAAGGCCAAGTACAATTAGGGCAGGATTGGATGCAGCTGGACACTCAGGTGAAGGTTTGTGACCCTCCCACCCCTCCATACAGAGGTGTAAACAGTCAACAAGCTCAACTAAAATGATCTTGCAAGCTGTCACAGCTGATGCCCAAGATGGCTGTTGCCTGC